GACAGTGTAGCTATATGATATACTTTTACATCTAGTAGATATTTTTCTTTCTACTTTATTCTTTTATTTTGAGAAATATAAAAGCTCTTCTAGGACTTTTCCACAATTTCTAGAAGAAGCTTTTCTATTTGTATAAATATTTTTGCTGGGATTCTAATAGGAATGGCATTAAATCTGTGAATTCATCTGGAGAAATATCAGCATCTTTGCTAATGTTGATTTTCCCAATTGATGAACACATTATATCTCTCTGTTTTGGTCTTCTTCGATTCTGTTCAGCAGCATTCTGTAATTTTCAAGGTAGAGAGTCTACACACATTTTGTTAGATTTAGTTAGAAGTATTTCACTTTCTTTGAAGGAAATATAAATTTTACTGTATTTTTTACTTCATTTCTACATGTTCACTTTAGAAATGAACTTGATGTCTATCTACTGATTTGGTATTCTGCAACTTTGCTGGACTCATACTTAAGTTCTAAGAACTGTTTTGTAGATTCTTTGAATTTTCTATTTAAACAATAAAGACATTTGCAAATAGGCACAATTTTAATTCTTCCTTACCAATCTGATGTATGTTGTTTGTTTTTGCTTACTGTGCAGGCTAGAATTTCCAGTACAAGGTTAAATAAGTCATCCAGTACAGAATGTCTGGCAAGTGCAGACATCCTTGTCTTTTTCCCTCTATAAAAGGGGAAAATACTCAATTTTCCAACATTAAGTATGATATTAATTTTAATCTTTTTTATCATTTTGAGGACACTCTTATTTTGTGGGAGTAGAAAACTTCTACTTTACTGAAAGTTTTTTACCATGAATGGATATAAATTTATAAATATTGTCAAATTCTTTCTTTGCATCAATAGCTGTGTTCACCTGATTTTTTTTCTTTAGCCTATTGAAATGGTGCATGACATTGATTAGTTTTAATTTTTAAATATTACCCAACTCTTGTATACTTGAAATAAATCTCTCTTGATCTTCATATGAAAGTCTTTGTATACTTCACTGGATTTAATCTTCTAATATTTTGTTGAGTGCTTTGACTTTCAGCTCATGAGTAACATTTGTCTCTAAGTTTCTTTTTCTGGTTTTGGTGATCAGAAAAATACTGGCCTCATACAATGAGTCTGCCTCACAATTTTCAAGCCATCCAATTATGAAATTTTGCTGGCTTTGAGACGGCTAGGTCAATTTTGTTAAATGAAAAATGTATAGTTTGGCTGTGCCCCAAGACATGTAAAACTTTGTCTTACCAGTGCTGTTTTAAACTGTATAGAATTCTTCTAGTTTCTTTCAGCAAGTTTATTTTTCTCACACCCTGTCAACAATCATGTTATGATATAGTTTGTATTCTTCTCCTGTTGTTTTATTTAACACAAGAGAGTTATATTTCAGTAGTGAATGGAATACTATCCTAGAAATGTGTTACAGGAAAGCAAGATAAATTACTAAACAACCGTTGTATTTTTACTCAGCACATCTGGAAGCACAATTTTTCCATGATATCAATTTTATTAAAATATTTTAGACTTTTTACTTCCCCCAAAACTATCAGAAGTAGTGGGAATTTAGGCAAAGTAGATATGGGCGTGTGTGTTTTTGTAACACTTTTAAAGACACTTGATATTGTGGACAGAGTACCTGAACATGAAAATAGAGCATATAAGTTCATGTCCCAGCTCTTCCCCTTACAAGCTGTGACTTGGGACAAATCACTTAGCCCCTCATATGGATATGGCAGATAAAAATGAAAACATTACATATGAGAAACTTAAATATGTTCACGTTGGAATCAGTATACTGTAAATTTATTACTACGACTGCTTGTATTTCATGGTGCCCTTAGATGGCTTTGAGTATAAGCACAGGAGCAGAGGTATTTACCATTGACGTTGACATACACAAAATGATCCTGAACTATGCTGAGTTCACAGTGGGGTCTTCAAATTCCACTCCCAAGTCAGAAAGTTCAGAATGCTATGAATAAACAAATTTTTAAAGAAGAACAATGTTTTCCACAAAAATTAATAACTAGGAAAAATACTTCTGGAAAGGGAGAGAACGGGAGAACGTTCTGAGTTTAAAAAATGCTTATCATTTATTTCAAAATAATATTCATTGAATTGGGCATTGAATTGAAAATGCCCACTAGTCACTAAAATCTCAAGGAAATCATGAAATAAAGAAGCCAAGCTAGCTTAATTAACCCAAATTATTCACACTTATTTAAAGAGGAAGCTTTCCTTTAAAAAAAAATACATCAAAACCATTGTCAGTTTGTGTTTGCATAAAACTCTTTGGGACATTTAGTAGGATAACCCTTCACTTTAGAGGAAAGCAAAGCAAACAAACCAATACAAGGAGATGGTACTTGTGGGGGGGAAATATTTTCTTGCTAAAATTTAAAAAGAAAACTAGGTTAGAAGCTGATGTATAATGATTTTAAGATTTGTAGAAAAGCAATGTGGTTTTAATTAAATCATATATAGTTTTTGAAATTTTATTTGTAACATATACCTATCATATGATAACACTGTGTATATGACACAGACTTCAGAAAAACCCACTAACAGGGGTACTAGCCAAACTCAGAGACTCTCTGCATCCCTTACCACCACTTCGTGATTTTTTTTTTTTTCTAGTTGGTTGGTTGAGGCTTTTTTTATTTGTTTGCTTTGCTTTGAGACTGGCTTTCACTCTATCATGCAGGCTGGAGTAAAGTGGCTTCCTCACAGCTCGCAGCAACCTCAAACTCTTGGGCTCAAGTGATCTCCTGCCTCAGCCTACTGAGTAGCTAGGTCTATAGGTACACACCAGGACTGTAGGTACACACCATCATATCCAGCTAAATTTTCCTTTTTTTTTTTTTTTTTTTTTGTCTCACTTCTTGCTCACGCTGGTCTCAAACTTCTGGCTTCAAGTGATCCTCCTGTGTTGGCCCCGAAAGTCCTAGGATAACCAGTGTCAGCTACTGCACACAGGCCACAACCACTTTTTTGCTGCATAAAATATACACCACATGAGGACACTGTCATTTCCTCAATACTACAATGCAAAGTTGGGGGTAACTTCAGTAGTCTTAAGGCTTTCTACTGCGACCCAACATGTGACAGGGAATGCTTATAGGCTTGCTAGGTTTCCATGGATTTAGTCATATATTAAGAGAACTGAAAACATTTTTTGCACTGGATTGAAAACTGTAATAATTTGCAGGGAACATTGCAGCTAATGATACAAAACGAAGCATTTACATCATATGGTGTGTGAACTTAGGCTGATACAGCTATCCACTCAACAAAACCAAAAAGTAAACCAAAACAAAAGACATAAACATTCCATAGATTTCTACTCGCCATTTGTCCTGTGGAGAGTTTGGTAAACACTGAGTTTACTTTGCCTATTCACCTGTGACCCACTTACTACTGATATCCTCCTTCCACTCCATCACTTCACAACACACCCACACACACATACATACACATATACACAAGCTAGAGCCAGAGATATATTTCTTAACATGACAAAAAATGACTTTGTTGGACTTGATGAAGCACATGGTGTGCTTAATTCACTCCATTGGCTACTTAAGTTTCCGGGATACATTTTAACTATTTTTCAGATTAACTTTATGCACAAAAAGATTTTAACTCCCTCCCATATGTGAAATGTGCCTCTAACCATATATTAGTAATGACTGTTTACATGAACTCTAGTATAAATAATATAGTCTATAAGTTACATGTCATTGTATGCGCTACTCTAATTATATCTTAAACTATCTATCTGTATCATATCTATATCAGAATGCCAGTAGGTGAAAGTGATGGTATCATAGAAATAATCCTGAATCTTCATAAATTATTTTAAATTTTATCTATAAAGTCAGATGATAATTACATTATCATCACTTCCCTTTAAGGGTAAGAACTATGCTATGAGAGCCACGGATGGAGAAAGTACTGAACACTCTCAGCCAATGATATTAGCCTAAATAAAGTAAATACTTTTAGCCGGTGCATGTTCTAAACCAGAAGTGGGGAAGGTTTTCATGGTGGAAAGACATGTTAATTTATATGTGATCAAATAAGGCTGAATTCAAGAAAAACTTCAATTAGATATAATTAAAAATGTACCTAATTTTGTCAAAATCTAACTTCTATGTACTTAATAATTTCAAATAATGAAAAATACTTGTTAATTTTAAAGTCAACTAACCTTTTAATGATTTAGTTTTGTCTTCTTTTTGTTGGAAAGAATTTGAATATTTGCAGCATTGTTTCTATTGATCTTCTAGATGGGATTCAGTCATCTGCGACTTTAAGGAATCTTTATTTGGTTTAGGTAGGAGAATTTTAATCCACTGCAATAAGTGGTTGAAAAGGAAGAAGCATTTTTTGCATATGTTGCTGACAGTATGGTATTGGGCTGCATTTCTCCATATTGCACTTAGATCTATCTTAGTAAAGAACAATGACTTTATGTTTTTTATTTATTATCAAATGATAGCTGTGTACGGTAATGCAATCATGGGGTACAGTGTGGTGTTTTCATATACTATTTGAAATATTTTCATCAAACTGGTTAACATAGACTTTATGTCAATTTTCTTAGTTATTAGAACAATGACTTTAAATTGTCATCCAATGAGAGCTCAATCAACTTCATCTGTAGTTCCTTAGGTGCTTTGGTGATATCAATTAGGTGAGACCAAAATGCAAATTTGAGTGTGATGTCTTGTTTCTCAAAGCCAATGAACCTCTTACTATATTCTCCAATTGCTATAATAGGTCGATAACATTTGCATTCCTCAAATTTTTCACATATGTATCACCTTATTCATTGATAACCTTCACTAACTGGGGAAAATATTCATCTGAAATTTCTTTTTGAAGAAGAAGTGTTTTAAAAGAAGATAGCATTTTTTTAAATGCTTGAAATTTTTGCCACATATCATCTATAGACTTAGTTGTACCTTGCAAAGAAATATTTAAGTCATTAGGCTCACTTTGTCAGCACATATACAAAAATTGAAATGACACAGAAAGATTAGCATGGCCCTTGCACAACGATGATGCACAAATTGTAAAGTATCCCTTAATTGTGTTACATACCGACTACATAGTGATTGAAAGATGATGTCCAAAGATGAGACCACAGAGGAAATATTAAGACCAAGTTTATTGAAAGGGGAGGTTGACCCATCTGTGCAGTGCAAAGGTGGCATCTATGACTGGAGGGCAGTCAGAGGCCCTTCTAAATGGGGCCATGAGGGGCGGGCACATTCCACTGCTTACCTGTCAGGTTAGGGTCATTTGTCATGACTTCTGGGGTGTGGGCTAGCCTGATCCTTTGTGTCTTTGTCTTAGGAAAACAGGAGGATGGAAAAGGGTTTGTGTATGCCTGGGTTAGGTCTCACAACAGGAGTTACATTTAAATTGCTTTTTCGTTTTCTTTTTCTTCTTCTTTTTTTCTTTCCTTATCTCTTCCAGAGCACCAAAGAGGATTATGTTAACCTCAGATATATATTTTTTATTTCTTTTTTCTTTCATTCATCTTTCATTTATACCTCGTTATTATTATTATATTCTTTCTATTTTTTTCTCTCTTTCTTCTCTTCCTTTTCTCTCCCTTTCTTAATTTTATCCATGGGCCATTTCAACCTCAAAGCCTAGAGGCAAATAATGTCAATGACAAGGAGGAAGGGAGAGAAGTAAGTAGGGGAAGGATATAAAGAAGAAGAAACCACACTGAGTAGGCACCAACAAAAAACACTGAAGAAACATGAAGAATCAGAACAGATTGACTCCCCCAAAGATCACAATGTAGATACCACAGAAGATTCCAGCTATAAAGAAATTATGAGGCTAGGTGTGGTGCCACACACCTGTAATCCTAGCACACTGGGAGGTAAAAGCAGATGGATTGCCTGAGCTCACAGGTGCTTTAAGACCAGCCTGAGCCAAAGTGAGACCCCTATCTCTAAAAATAGCCAGGCATTGTGGTAGTGCCTGTAGTCCTAGCTACTCAGAAGGCTGAGGCAAAAGAATTGCTTGAGCCCAAGAGTTTTGTGTTGCTGTGAGCTATGACGCCAAGGTACTGTACTGAGGGCAACAAAATAAAAATCTCTGTCTCAAAAAAAAAAAAAAAGATAGAAAATAAAGAAAAAGAAATTATGGAAATGACAGAAACAAAATTTTGATCAGGGGTGGAAAATTTATGAAGAGAATTAAACAAAAAAAAAAAAAAAGGAAAACCAGCAAAAATAAATCCAAAAATTGACCCAAGAATGAAAAAAAGACAAGATAAAGTCTTCAAGCATCTGGACTAAATTTTAAAGGATATAATAGACCTTAAAGAAATGAAGGAGTTATTCAAGGAGTTTTGAAATGTAGTAGAGTTTCAATAACAGATTAAGGAAAATAAAGAATCTCAGAGTTTGAAGATAAGGCTCTTAAGCTAACCCAATCATTAAAAGAAGCAGAAAGATAGAGAATAAATGCAGAACCATCTCTTAGGGAATAATGGGACTACACAAACAAATTATAGGTATCCCTGAGGAAGAAGTAGGGAGTACCAATAGCATGGAAGCCCTAGTTGATGACATGATAACTGAAAATTTCCGAAGCACCACCAAAGATTCAGCTATACACCTACTAGATGAATATTGAATCCTGTATCAACTCACTTCAAACATACCATCTCCTACACATATTATAATAAACCTGGCCAAACTCAAAATGAAAGAAAAAATTGTATAAACAGTCAGGCATAAGCATTAGCTGTCCTCCAAAGGCAAAACTCATAAGGGTGACAGATGACATCTCAGTTGAAACTTTATGAATCAGAAGAAAGTAAACTGTGGGGTCCCATTTTCAAACTCCTCAAACAAAACAACTACCAACTCAAGATTCTGTATCCTGCAAAACTAAGTTTCATAATGAAGATGAAATCAAACCTTTTACTAACAAGAAAACATTGAGGAAATCTACCACTGTAAGACCAGCTATGCTGGAAGTACTCAGACCAGTACTATCCACAGACCTACACACTGGACCACCAGCAAAGTAAACTCCTTTGAGAACTAAAGAACTAAGTCTAGCATCAATAGTAATAGCCCAAGTGATAAAACAAGGCAACATGCCTCCATGCAGCAAGATGAAAAGAAATGCACCCTACTTATTAAATCTCTCAATAAATATGAACAGCTTTAATATTAATATTAATATTAATATGAGCTTAACAGACATATACAAAAGTTTCCAATAAAACAAAGTCTTGGATGAGATGCTTTTAGACCATAAGTCTACCAAGTCTTGGATGAGATGCTTTTAGACCATAATTCTACCAAACCTTCAAAGGAGAGTTTGTACCTATATTGTGGAACTTACTCCAAAACATCATTGAGAAGGAAGGAACACTCCCCAATTCCTTCTATGAAGCAAATATCATTCTTATACCAAAACCAGATAAAGACACAACAAATAAAGAAAATTATAGACCAATATCATTAATGAACATAGATGCACCAATATTCAATAAAATCTTAGCAAACTGAAACCAGCCGAACATAAAAAAAGAAAATCCTTCATTACCAAGTAGGCTCATCCCTGGTATGCAAGCCTGACTAAACATATACAATCCATTGACATAATTCACCACATAAACAGAAGTAAAAGAAAATATCCTATGATCTTTTTAATAGACATACAAAATGCACTTAACAAAATTCAGCACCCTTTTTTATAAGCCTTAAGAAAATTGGCATAGATGGGACATTTCTTAAAGTGATAGAAGTAATGTATAATAAACTCACAGCCAATGTTATTATGAACAGAGAAAACTGAAAACATTCCTGCTTAGAATCAGAACCAGACAAGGATGTCCACTATTGCCACTACTTTTCAACATAGTGCTGTGGAAGTCCTAGCCAATACAAATAGAAAAAGGAAGGATATAAAGCATTTCCAAATAGGAGCAGAAGAGGTTCACTCTTTGGTGATAGGATCTTATACTTAGAAAATCTTAAGAACTGAACCACAGGATTTCTGGAAGTAATCAAGAAATGCAGTAACATCTCAGGATAGGAAATCAACATTCAAATCAGTTGCCTTCATGTACACCAACAATACTCAAGCCAAGAATCAAATCAAAGATACAATGCCCTTCACAATATCATCAAAGAAAATGAAATACCATGGAATATACTTAGTGAAGGTTGTGAAGGATCTCCACAGAAAGAACTATGAAACATTAAGAAAAAAAGTAGCAAAGGATGTTAACAAATGGAAGAACAAACCATACTCATTCCTGGGAAGAATCAACATTTTTTTTCTTTTTTTTTACTTACCAATACAGTTTTATTACAGCAAAAGGATACAAATTAGAAGAGTTGTATAGGGTGACAACTGAGTATTCTGAAGGCAAAGCTTGTTTTTGCCCTCTGACACCAATGTGTGACAATACTCCAAGAGCGAGCACTGCCAACCAGGGACATTCACCTGAGCTTTGGTGTCCAGCATGTTTGTTGGAGTCTTACTACATACGCCTAATTAATTGGATCATGGCCCATGTGACTCAGTCTCTAGCTCTTCTCCCCATCCCCTAGAGATCAGGCTGCTATTATGTGTCCCAATGTCCCAACTCTTAATTTTTTTTTTAATTTCTGGCTCCTTTATTCCATGAATATTTACAGAACATCAACTATAGGCAAAACATTGACATAATCATTGAAGATAACATTGGGACAAATATATCAATTTTATGAGGAAACAAAGCATTATCTGCAAATCAATTATGAGATAAGTGTTCTCATTACCACTGCTCCTAGTAAAGTTGAAGATCCTAGCTAGTACAATTATGACAACTTAAAAATCCCAATGGTTTGTAAAAAAATACAAATTTCATTACTTCCAAGGAGAATCAACATTATTAAAATATCTATAGTACTCAAAGTAATCTATAGATTTAATGCAATCTCCATTAAAATGTCAGATTTTTAACATCTTGAAAACAATTATTCTACCTTTCATATAGAACAATGAAAAAACCCAAATAGTCAATGCAATTTTAAGAAATAAAAACAAATGTGGAGGCATCATGTTACCAGACTTCAGGTTATACTGCAAGTCTACGGTGATCAAAACAGCAAGGTATTTGCTTAAAAATGGAGATCTATGGAACAAAATGGAGAACCTAGATGTGAAACCAACCTCATATCACCATCTGATCCTTGATAAAACTAAAGCATACTTTGAGGAAATGAATCCCTGTTTAATAAATGGTGCTTGGAGAAGTGGCTAGCCACATGTAAAAGGCTGCAACTACCCACACCTCTGTCCACTCACAAAAATTAACTCATGCTGGATAAAAGATTTAAATCTAAGACACAAAGGTTTCTACAATAATTCTCCAAATAGATATTCCATGGTTTTAGTACTTTCTTCTTCTTCCTCAGGGATCCCCGTAGGAAGGGGGAAACTAACATAATTCTTGTGTTAGTTTATTTTACATAGTCCCATACTTCTCTAAGTGATTGCTCTCTCATTGTTATTCCTGTCTCTGACTTTTTAAATGCTTGGGTTAGCTTAAGAGCCTTGTCTTCTAGCTCTGAGATTCTTCTTCTTGGTTTAATCCTTTGCTGAAACTTTCTGCTGTGTATTGAAAAATCACTGAATCATTTTTATTCCTTTAAGGTCTATTATATTCTTCCTAAATTTAACGAGGTCTTTAGTGACCTTTTCGTTAATTTCCTGAAATATCTTTGGTGCTTGATTTTGTTGGTTTTCAACTTTTTCTTCAATTCCCTTCATCACTGACCCATTGACTCTTCAATTGGAGCCTATTATGCTTCACTCATCTCCTGTACTCAAATCCCACTGCACTCTAGGGGAAAAACACCTGGCTTCAAATTCCAGGGTATGGCTGTGGGAAACCAATATTATTTTCGCTCCCTCCCCTTCCCAGTATAGATGCCACATAGTGCACTGAGAGTTCTGTATGGCTTTAGTTGTCATCCAGTCCCCACAGTGCCAGTTGTCTTGTGCAATGTCTCTGCACAGATTTCAGGCAGGACCCTGTATAAGCAGGTAGGGGGTCTTTTGAG